CACTTCAGCGTCAGTTTGGTGACCCGTATGATTACTAACTGAGTATACCGAATCCTTGAAGGTACATAGTAAAATCAGTACATTTGTAACTTTAGGATGCTCACATAGGTTCTCTTACTACATATGATATCGCTATGTATGATAATCTTTTTTTAAATTGGTTTAAACACTGTAGATTGTGTATACCTGGAATAGAGCCTTATCTCTAATTAGGTCGGACATTAAGACATTTTATATTAATTTCATAACATTCTGTTAAACGGGCCTAGTTAATGCAGGAGCATACATGAAAAGGGGAGTTAAAAGACTAAGTTTGAAATAACTAAATTCAGTGAGACTACCTGAAGTTGAGAACCATAATATGCATAACAATTTTTAATTTATGAATTTTCAGAGTATTTGCGTCCGCTGATGTCATAGTAGAATGCATGGTTTTGGGCTATGCGAGGAGCCAAGCAGTCTGAAGGCTAGGCCCTGTGGCGCAATCGAGTTAGCGCACGGTACTTATAGACAGTGTACGCTGCTAATAAGCATGCCGGGGTCAGATAGTGCAGTTCGAGCACTCACCAGGGACTGCACTCTCTTTTTCCTCTATAACCTTACTTTCCTCATTGGAGATGGGTTTCAAACTTATGAAGATCAAATTTTATTTATTTTTTTCCTGCGTACAAAGATGGTGTAGTTTACTATGTAATAATTGTTGGGCACTAAAGAAGATAGCTATACTAGAGTACAGTGCATTTTGACAAAACTAATCCTGATGCTTGTAAAATGAGCTACTTACAACAATAACAGTAACATGATGTCCGGGATGATGAGCTTTATCCATGCATTCTACAAAATATTTTATAGACGCAGGTATTATATATTTGTGCAAGTGGTTCTATCGATATGATTTTAGATATCGATAGCAAAAATGGGTTAACATCATATAATTATCGATTGTGATCCTTAACGAAAATGTGTTCTTTCCGTTAATGGGACAAGCTTTTAGTAATGAGTTCATATCATAATAATGTGGTTAAAATATCTCCAAAAGGATCCCAATATTGGTAGGTATATTGTTTGTCAGGACGCGGGTCTTAGTATATGTGAATGATACCGCAGCTGGATCGTATTTGAGTCCATATGACGAGGAGCTTACGACCTGGCGTCCTTACCCCTGTGTCACCTCCCCACCTCATGGTTAGGATTATAACGCATATTGAAGTACTTTCATGCTGAGAAGGATTCGATGGAATTAAGTCATTAGTTTACTTTTTTGGGAGTGAGATCTTTGGGTTAGAACTTTATCAAGTTACTGTTGTATAGTGATCAATTGTAACCAACGCGCAAAACTTGTCGTAATTGTACCTAAATTAAGACAACGTTTGGTCAGTGTGGGCTCTTGTTCCTTGTATGCAAAAACTATAGTGTTTTTATGAAATCTGCTCGAACTAAAAATGAGACTAATACGACGACACACCCAACAAATTACCACAAATTAAGATGGTGGCGATTCATCCTGGATCCTGTATTTCATAGAACACTCTTAGATCAGGATGATCGAATAATTCAATATTGGTATAAGAGTACCGACAACCTTGATATGCAAAGACACATACCAGGGAATTGTAATAGACTCGTCTATCTTGGTTCCTGTGATGGAGCTGATTTCGTCAAAACTGCTACCTCTCGTACTTTGTGTCGCTTCGTTTTTCACACCAATGTTGTGCTCCACGAGTCGGATTCATCTCTGTATTTCGACTGATAAATTCTATTATTACTCTCTCGCAAGGGGGAGGTGAGGAAGCGCTAAAAACCCGTAGGATAATTACAGCGAACTGGGGATGTGGAAGAGGACATTCAGGACTTAATTCGTGGGATACTGTGCTAAAGCACAGATCCATTCCCTGAGAAATCGAGGAGCCTCACTCCCAAGACATCGAAGGAACCCTTCCGTGATGGGGTCGACTGATATTAAGGCTTGTCAGCTAGGCGAGAACGTTCGTCTTAGAGATTCCATAGTGTGTTCTTGCAAATGTGAATTACAGAAAAAAGTGGAAACGTAAATGTGTCGGCAAACTTGTCCAGGAATTTCGTAAAAAGTTAGGACTAAAAACTCCATTATGATGGAATCGCGTGTGAAGTTAACCTCAATGTTTTAATACCCACGGTAGGTTGCCAGGGTCCCTTAAAACCACTTGTTGCACTGGAACTAAAAAATAGAGGATTGGTGTACCCGATGCATGCTAGGTTGTGGTCGGTTTAAAACTCAGTATTAAAAAAAAATGAGATCTTAAAGGAATAACAATGACAATAATAATGCACGTGATCATACTAATGCTCTTCTTTGAATGCTTAACAATATTTTATTTCCTAAGATGTCAAGTACACAGGTTTATTACACAACAAAATAAGTAGTTTGAGACAGATTATGACGCTGCTAAGTCCATCATAATATGTGCAGGCATATTTAATGAAATAAAGCTCTGCAGATATTTTTAAGATACAATTAACACTTTTGTATTGATTTATTGTTAGAACTTTACAGTAACTAAGGGTAGAAAAAACAAAATATCCGCTATGAATAAAGCATAGTAAAAATAAAATGTGGTTTAACTTATATAAGCAAGGGACCATAATGGGAATAGATCCCGTGCCGGGATCGATCCCGAACTCCTCAGGTGTGTTAGCTGAGCCACAGTAAGACTGATAAACATTATATAGCCGTAGCATTTTCGATAAAAAAAATGCAAGATTGTAATTGAGCTTCATTCATATTATTTATAGATTTTTATATCTATTGGCATACGTTAAATTCTACATACTGCATACTTTAATATCATTGCAAAAGTTTAAATTTATGTGAGACCTAAATAAAAACTGACTTAGGCAGTGACATATTAAGATTTAATCAGGTTACGAACACGTGTAGCGTATGGAAGATAATTTATCAGTCATGACCACCGTAGCCTTGATTACCAGTGATAAGCCACTTCGAAAGGTTTAAATTAATAATGTGGACATTGGAAATAAGTCTCGTTGATTTTCTGGGGGTTATCCTAGGTAATTTGCACTATGTATGATGATTGTACTGATGTGTACCTGTGCCTAAATGCACTTACTTATGGTCATCCATGGAAATAAGTCGTCCACTGGAAATAAGTCACCCTGTCTGACTTTTTTGGGTTATCCTAGGTTCTCTACACATATGCTGCTATGTATGATAATCTGTGTAACTGTATTTGTGTATGCCTGAATAAACTTACTAATCTTGGTCTTACACAAAGTGTAGCTACATCCAAATCTAAGTATAACATTTTACATTTTTTTCAGCAAAAACCACCGTCCACAGGATGGATATGGGGTGCACAATAAACTAGCCACTTCGGTGGCAAAATCTAAACTCTAAAATCAAATGAGTATATGGCTTTTGCTAAGAGGTATCAGTAGCCATTTCCATTACAAATATTATATTTAATGCCAAAATATTCAGATAATCATCAGTCAATAGAAGCTTTAAATTCATTCCGAAAACATAAGCTACCGGCTGGGGTTGGTGGCGCAACCCTGTAATCCGGCGACTCGGAGGCCTGGGCCAGTGGACGGCTTGAGGTGGGGATCACTGGTGCGGGACTCCCCATGTTGAGTGGGCGTCCGCACTAAGCTCGGCATCAATATGGCCACCCTTAGGAAGCTAGGGGCGTCCAGGTTGTCCAAGGAGGTGTGAACCGGGCCAGGGGGGAAACCCAGCAGCCAAAAGCACCCGTGTCGCGCAGTAGTGGGATCGCGCCCGTGAGTGGGCGGCCCGTAGCAGCCCTGCCAATATAGGCGGACTTGGTCCTTTTAATAATTTTATACCATCCTTTGGGTTCATACATACAAGACCCTGTGGCAGCATCCAGGACCACCCTCGCTTTATTAGTTTCTTGGTAGGGGCCATATAGCACCTAGGAACAGAAAACGATCCGATTCATTCCAAGAATTGTGAAGGTATTTCCGCATCTTTGGATCAAGAGCCCATCGCCAGCAAGATGACACCTCCCTTGAAAGTACTAAGCTCACTCACTCGATAAAGAAAACAGTAAAAAGATTCAATTACGTATATTTGTTATCTTTCAAATTATTATTATAATCAAAATGAAGCGCTAAGCCACAAGGGCTATACAGCTATATTTAGAGGAGCAATAAAGCTATAGGGTCATGGGAGGACAAGCCCGATTCTTTAATAATAATAACTGATAATTGATGCTTTATATTTTTTTATCAAGGTTGAATGGCAATGATTTGGCATTATTGGTTGATTAGAAAATTATTATAATTACGGTGGAGACAAAACCTACAGGAATCATGCATAATTATAATTATTATAATCATGGGGGAGCGCTAAACCAACAGGATTATATAGCGCATGTGGGGGGATGAAAGGCATTCAGGCTCAATTCAGGGAACTGGAGCACAGATCCAATTCCCTAGATCAAGAGCCCCTCACCAGCATCAAGGAACCACCTGAGGGGGGAATCATGCATAGCTTTGAGAAATGGAAAGCAATCAGGTATGATACAAGAAAAGGTAGTATAGGCCCAATGCCTTGGGTCAAGGCAGTCTCACTGGCACACCATCCCCTAAGAAAAGAAATTAACAAAGTATAAAATATTGTCATAAACTTCAGGTATTATCTGAGGAAAAAAACAGTAGCTGTAACTTGGATGAACAACCCTTTACCTGCATAGCTTTATTCCTTACAACTGCGGAACACAAGCACAGTAATTACAATTATTATTATTATAATCAAGGGGAAGCGCTAAACCCGGAGGATTATACAGCGCCTGGGGGGGGGATGTGGAAGGCATTCAGGCTTAATTCGGGGAACTGGAGCACAGATCCAATTCCCTAAATCAAGAGCCCCTCACCAACATCAAGGAACCTTCCTTGAGGGGACAGTAATTACAAATAAGAAATAACATACCTAGCTAGTTAAGCTTTTTTTATGTATCACTAACGAGGAAAAAATGCACTTGTAAATTTAAAAACATTTATTTTAAATCACATTATTTACAACTTTCAATATAGCATTTTAATCAGGAATTATCTTGAATCCATATGGTCATTTATTTCATAATTGTTTTTGCTGAGAATTTGTTAAAGGTTTTCTATAAAGCCAAACTGTATCAATACCCTCCCCTATGGTAGCAACTGGTTCCCAAGACGGAAGAGGAAACCGACAAGCAACAACGCAGCCATCCTGTTGTAATTCTTGCACTAATTTGGATTCTAGTTCAGGCATCTGCAAGATTTTGTTGAATGTAAAGACCATAATGTTATACGTATGTACGTCTACCAGTAAATAATTATATATATTTCAGTAGTATGTTTGCTTAATAGACACCATAACTTGAAAAAGCATAACACTACTGCAAACTCATGGTACGTACTGGATAAGAGTCCATGGCAATCACATGGTACTATAATGATTTTAAAACTAACGTGCCATGGGTTCGAATCCTGTCTGTTATATGATATGGCCATACTCTTTTATTTTTGACAGTAATTTTGTTTACATTACTGTACTTTGTTTATAGAACCAATTAAATTAAAAAATAAGGTGTAGAAAATGTTTGAAAGTACGTCTACATTTAGCTGGTATCAGTTATCATACCAGATAAACACAGGTGTATGTACTTATGTATATGTGGTTGCAGGGGTTGAATCTTAACTCCTGGCCTTGCCTCTCAACTTACAGCTTGTCAGATTCACTCCATCCTATCTTTGTGAGCCCTATTGTTCCTACTTTTAAAAAAAACTGTGTGTGTACTCACCTATTTGTGGTTGCAAGGGTCGATTCACAGCTCCTAGCTCCAACTTCGCTGGTCGCCTTACCAGGAGCTGTGACTCAACCCCTGCAGTCACAACCAGGTGAGTACCCACACAGGAGGGTTAGAGGATACATGATACCGACATACAAAATACTGTGAGGAACAGATAATGTGGACAGAGACAGGATGCTCAGAGAGAGGACACAGAAACATGGAGTCACAATTGGAAGTTGAAGACTCAGATGAGCCAAAGGGATGTTAAGAAGTATTTCTTCAGTCACAGAGTTGTCAGGAAATAGAATAGTCTGGCAAGTGATGTAGTGGAAGCAGGAACCATATATGTTTTAAGACGGGGGG